GGAGCCAACTGAGTGTGGACTGAAACCTCCAAAACCTGTAAGAAATAAACCTTTTCATTCTCAACTTTGGGCTTCAGGTATTTTGTCTCAGCGACGAGCTTAAAGTAACTAAGACAAGAACCTTGGCTTGGCCCTGCGAGATTCCAGCAGGGACTGAGGGTGCTGACCTCTTGCCCTTGACCCTTTCTGCTCAGAGAGTCTACGTGGATAGCCACAGACCTAGCTAAAGGGCTGGCTTGGCTGTGGTGTGGTGCAGTGAGTTTCAGACCCACTGCTGGTCACTGGGAAGTTACTTAGTCATACTCTTGGCTGTGTCACAGTAGCCTGAGGCCCTCACTGTCAGTTTTCTACTCAGGAAGTGCCAGTAATTCCATCCCCAGGTACTAAGTAGTCAGGGTTATTTTTGAGAAGTGCTCTATTCCTTGAGAGAAGGTGATGTGTGAGTGTGCACATGTGTAGTGTTTGTGTGTACATATATTCTGGTGTATAGTCTGCATGTGTGTGTGTATATGTGTCCCTCTCTGAGTTTTTCTGAAGCCCTCTGTCCCTGTTCTTGGGTAGAGTTGGGTCTTCCTGGGTTCCCCAAATTCCCCTAGTGCTTATGACTTGGTATTCTCAGCCATCCTTTGGGCTGATTCCCATTGGCAGTGATCTCCTGGCATCGTGGCTTTGCTTATTGGTGAGCACTGTTAAGGCATGTGGCTGTCACAGTGTGTCCTTCTGTGTGGACCACCTTCTGTGTGGCTAGGGTGTGCACATGTGTGTGGGTCATATTCCAGCCTGGCTCTTGGAAAAGTCTGCAGTTCATTGTGGGTGTCTGACAGGTTTTCCTCCATCTAGGGCACAGCTCTAGGGAATGATAAGCCCTCCCTGTCCGTCTTTCTTTCTTCCTGACATCAATGAGCAGGTGAGCTGCCCCTCTGTCACCCTTCCTGAAAGCAGGACAGACTTTGTTTCTCCTGAATCACAGGGACTGACACTCGGGGAATGTGTAAAGATGGCCTGCTCTGGCCTGCTTTCTGTCTCACTCCAGCTCTTTATTATCCTAAAGACAGAGGTACAGTGTTTTCGGAGGTCACGTTTAGGGTCTTAGCCCTGATGTGTGTGGCTGTGCAGTGCAGGGTGAGGTAGCTGAGCTCTCTGTGTTTGTGCCTCCCTCTCTCTACGTTCCAGAGGTGCTGCGACGATCTCTTCTAAGAAGCCAGGGGGCTGCTACGCAGGGAGAATGAAGTAACCCACACCAGATGTTTAGTACAATTTAGCACTGGTAAAAGCCCGATAAACACAGGCTCTAGTCTGTGTTAGTTGTAAAGAACACTAAGTGTGTGGTTGATTGTGGTTATTTAACTTGAGAAAATGAGACCAAATGCATTAGCATGTTTGGCCCGTGGTCATGCATGGAAATCTGGGACTCCAGGGTTGTAGTGTCTCTGTAGCAACAGAGCAACAAACACTGACTGAAAAGTAGGGCATAAATCGGGAATCAGCCTGCAGTAAGACGGTCCTTTACAGGCTCTTTGGTTGCCTCTCCAGGGCCAGAGACACAAGGCAACCCCCCAAGTCCTGGTCACTGGCCCCCGTGGTTCACTGCCAACACCATGTCTTTGTCACCTACAGTTGCTTGCTGGTTTCTGTCTGTTTTGGTTTGGTTTGGCCTTGCCTAGGTCTGGAGCATTCCAGCACTCAGGGAGTAGCTGGTGAGCAGATGGGCCATTTGGCTGCTGGCCGGAGACTGTTGGTCCTTGTGAGGCCAAGCTGATGCATTTAGACTCTGCATGGCTGGTGGGAGCCAAGGCAGGGAAAGAGCGTGGGCCTCTGGTGTCTGCATCAAAGGGAGGGTTGTCATCGGCAGTCTCCAGTTCTGTAGGAACACCTTAGTTACTTGGTGTAAGAATTAATGAGGCACCCAGATTTCCCCCTTAAACTGCAATATTAAGATGCATTACTTTGGGGATGAAAAGTAACTATTTTTCCTGAGAGGAGAGCTTGAGTTTCTAGCCAAGTGGTAAAAATAGGTGTTTATGGTCTTTCTGAGTAGGTTCTGGTGTATCATGATGGCATCTCACAACAGTAACCAAGTATGTCACATAGAGTGACCTGGTCCCTAGATTACCTGGTCCATATCTCTTTGTTGCCAGATTTGGTGTTTTGTGTCTGGTGGCCTAGCCGCATAGGGTGGTTCCCTGGGGGTGCTCATGTGACCTGGAGAACCCTGATGGGAGATTCTTCCAGGGATCCCAGTGTCCCCATTTAACATCTGTGATGGCTTGATTTTTGGGTGGTGAATCAAGGCCACCTTGTAACATGGCTTCCTGTGGTAGTGGTGAGGCATATGGCTGTGTCTGAGGATCAGAGTCTACATGATGCTTGTGGTCTCTGATGTGGGGAAAACTGAGTTCTTTTACAGCTTTCCCAGTCCTAGAGGCGGCCTTTTGTGGCTCACAGATCTCACTGGGCTGGTGAAGGAATGGAGAGCTGTTGCTGTGCATAGAGCTTGGTGTTCTCTGTCTGTCTCTTCCTTCCTGCTTCCTTCTCTTTCCTTCTCTCTCTCTCTCTCTCCCTTTTGCTCTCGCTCTTTCTTTCTCTCTCCTCCTTATCCATTATCTTGTTTTGGCTTTTATTTTCTCAAGAACTCTAAACCTTTGTGACTGAAATGGAGCGTTGTCTAAGGGGTAGCTAGCTGTAGGGACCCTGGTTTGGGGTGACATACCACAGGTGTTTCGAATGTAATGCAGGAGCACAAGCTGAAGATGTCCTTTAATAGACTTGTTATCACTCTCACAACTGAAGTGTGGTTATGTTTTTAGGCTGTTTTTTTGAGATAGGGTCTCACTATGCAGTTCAGGCTAGCCTTGAGCTCACTTTGTAGCCCAGGCTGGTCTGGAGCTCTCAACAATCCTCCTGCTTTAGCCTCCTGAGTGCTGGGATTGCAGGCATGCACCTCCATGCCCAGCTGTTTCTGTGGAGTTTTAAAATAAAAAAGCCATTCCAAAAAGATGCCTTTTCACTAGTGCTGTCTGGAACCACATAGCACTGGATCAGAAGGTGGTGCCATGTCCTGACCTGGCTGGCTTCTACTTGTCGTGCACACTGTGGGAAGAAGAAAGGAAGAGGCTGTTTTGCCTGTGGTGCCCTGTAGAGGACCACCTGGATGACTCTGCTTGAATAAAGAGCAACCCATTTTGGCTAACCCTGGCCCTGTCCCCATGTGCTGATATGTACAGAGTTGGCTAGGCCACTTCTTTATCCCTTCAATTGCTGTAAGCAACAGGGCTAGTTGAGGTGCTGATGCATAATCTTTAAAGCTAGGTGACAGTCACCGCTTCTCTGCCTCATGATTCCCCCAAAACATGGTTGAGCTGGATGGGATGACTCCAGGGCTGTCAACTGGGATGGAACCTTGATATAAGAGGCTATAACTTCCTGGGGCAGAAAAGTTTACACATCAAAGCTGAAGCACCGACTCCCAAACATTAGATATTACCTCAGTAATGTTATACAGATTGGTCTTTCTGCACATCCTTTTTCCTGCATACTGCAGAGGGGCTTTCAGGCCTCCTACCAGCCCAGCTCACAGGACTCACATATTTCCCGCCATTCTCACAATCACTCATCCTCAAGCCACTCCTTTTTCCATGAATTAATAAAACCCAGGTTTGAGAATGGGTTGAAGGCTTTTGCTCCAACGAACCTTCATACCGATTGGACTTAGGATCCCTTGGCTCCTCGTAACTATAAGACTATATATGTCTTATTACCTTTATTCTTGGCATAGGTTGCACTGGAAGTGGTAGATTGGAATTAATTTATTGGAGTTCCAATAACTTTTCCATGGGATTACAAATATAAACTTCTCAGACCAAAACATGGACTGGGATGGCTTTCTTATAATGCCCTTTCTGCTCCTATGGTGTGCTAGGACTTGGCCATATTAATTTGGCACCAGATTGTGCAAGCTATGTCTGAGGTTGTGTTACCTTCATCCTGGAATGGGGTTTTGTTTAGAAGCTGAACTCTGATTGATGTCTTCCAGTCCCTCACAGGTCCTTCTGGGGTCTTTTGATTTATCATTTCTGGTTAAGAATAATTTGCTGTTTTGTCCTTTCCATCTATGCTGTGAGTTTTCCCTTCTGTACTTGGCTTTTCTTTGATTTTCAGCAGTTTGACAATAATGTGGTTAAGTGCTTTATTTGTATTGATTTACCCTTGCTTGGAATTTTTTGAGTTTCCTGGATTCATGGACTCCTTCATGGGATAAACTTAGGAAATATTGTGGATTATTTTTCTGTTTATACTTTGAGGCCTCTGTCTCTGGTTCTGTGACTAATGATGCTTGGTACTATCCATAGATCAGGGGAGTTCTCTTTGTTTAAAAACATTTTTGTTGGTGTTTCAATGAGCATAATCTGTGTTGACCTGTTTACGCTCACCAATACTTTGCTTTGATGTGTTTAATCTGCTATCAACCCTGCAGAGTCGAGAAAGATTCTTCAGAGAACAGTGGTACTTATCTGAGCAGCAGAGCATCATGGTAGGACCATGCAGCATATAAATATTGGTGTTTTGAGGAGGGCAAGGCTAAGGGAGCTTTGAAACGATGACTAAAAAGCAGGGTTCGTCAGTCTGCTACTGCAGGGAGTTGCAAGGGCAGAAGTCTTTGGTGCTGTGTCTTCTGTATGAAGCCGTGGTGGCTTCTGCACAAGATGGTGGTGAGAGCAGTCTTCTGTGATAGCTTCTACCTCCAGTCATATGTAAAAACTCCCTTTACCTTTCTTTCTCAATCTGTCTGTCTGTCTGTCTGCTTATCTCTCTCCTTCTTTCTCCCTCTCTCTCTCAATCTCTCTCTCACTTTTTCTTTCCCCTTCCTTTCAACCAACAAATTTTTTATTTCAGTCACTGCATTTTTCATTTCTACTATAGCCCTTTTAAAAAGGTATCTAAATTCTTACCCATTATATCCATCTTGTAGAAACTTCAACCTATATAAAGACAAAGTTATTTTAGAGTTCTTTAAAGCTCTATTTAGAGTTTATAGTTAGAACATTTTGTTTATTGATATGTCTCCTATGCCTTATTTTTCTCTTAATTATAAGTTGTATTTCCTGTTCCCTCAAAAACATTTTTTATCGGGACTAATATGTCATGGAGACTGGATTCTGTTGTCTTCCTCTGAAGAGTGCTGTGTTCTAAGAGGCAGTTATGTTCCTGGTGGGTCACCTTGAGCTTGTGGAACTTGGATTTATAATTTTTTAGGGTGAGTATCTCTTACAGTTTTGTCCTTGGTTCTGGAACAGTCTCCTTGGGGCTGATTTGCTGTCCTGCTTTCTCTAGGTTTCCAGAGTGAATGTTCAGCAAACCTCAGACCTGGTGAGTTTGAAGCTGATTCTTCAGTCTTCCAGCTCCTACAGTCATGGTGCCGCTCCAAACATAGTACAGGGTGGGAGTGAGGTTAAAGCAGAGCTTGGGCTCCTGCTGACTTTGCCTTCCAGAACTTCCCTGTTGTCCACACAGAAGTGGTTACTCTCATTCTGTTTCCCTCAGGGGAGAGGCAGCACAAATAAGCAGATTGCCTGGACTGTTCCTTGTTCAAGATAGTCTCTAGCAATTTTCTGGCCTTGTCGTGGAGAGCCTGGCATCCAGCTCTCATGGTGCATCGGGAGGAAGCTGTTTGGCTTCAACTCAGGGCAGAGGCTGCAGCCCTGACTTACACTGCTGAGCATGCTGAGCATATGCTCCAGGTGCTGCATGGAGGACATACAAGGAGTGTCCCGTGAGCTCCTTTCCTGATTCATATCAGGTGGCCTCTGCAGCCTTCCTATCCAGGAGCGATCACTGTTTCCTAGCATCTGGCTTTTTTTCTGGCTGTGACCTCTGGTTCCTGGGGAAGGCTGCCTGCCTAGCCCCCCAGCTGGGCTTTGAGGCTAGTGCTGCCCTCAAGCATCTGTGGGTCTCACCTGGACCCTGCAATTACAGCACCTCTTGCCCATCCCCACTGTGGCTTTGGACACCACTTTTGGTTTTCTTAAGATTTCTTTTATTCTTACACAGTGTCTTAGTTACTTTCTTTGTTGATGGAACAAAATACTCAACATCCCCCACTCCACACCATTTACTGGAGGAGAGGCTTATTTAACTTGTATTTCAGTCCATGGTTAGTTGACTCCAAGATAGGACAGCATGGTAGAGAGGCATTGTGAAGGACAGTTGCTTATACCATGGTGGACAGGAAGTAGAGCAGGAAAGAAGACACGGAAGGAGACCGAGCCTTCTAGGTCATGCCATCAGTGACCTATCTCAAGTCAACTGTAGCACCCCCATAATGCAATCACTCGAAATCCCTGCCTCTGAGTTCATGAGGCTCCTGGGAGACATCGTAAGAACTTTGTCTCTTTGTGATGTGGCCTGATTTATAAAGACATTTTTATACTAATGAACCAAGAAGTTCCTGTTCCCAAGGTTTGACCTTATCTTGAGCTGTCCCTGCATGTGATCTCCTCACATGGTAATCCAGGGAGGAGAGACACCTGCCACATGTCGTAGAGAGAAGTGCACTAATTTCCAGGAAAGCATTCCATGCTTGCCTTTTAGGTTGTTTCACTATGTTCTTGGCATAAAAATATTGTATCAAAATGCTAAATATCCATTTTAAAAAGCTTTCTCATGATCCCAAATATCCCCAGGGCTAATTTAAACCAAAGGGGAACTGCAATGTGAAATTGGGTAGGTGACCAAGTCAACAGGTGAGAGAAGCCAGATGTGGACAAACATGGCCAGGACTAGCGGCCTGGTTCAGAGACAGCTTGGCCAGAGCCTTGCTGCCTATAGCATGTTTTCAGACATCTGTTTCTATCAGGACTCTGGGTGCTGACAAACTACTGGGTTCTGGGCACCAGCTAGGTGTGTGAAAGCTCAGCACCCCTCTGCTGTCTCCCAGATGTATTCAAAAGATGGAGCCCATCACAGGTCAGCCCCTGACCAAGAGGACAGAGAAGGGCCATTTGGCCCCTTTGCCTGCCCTAGCCCTGTAGTGGAGAGGATCTGACACCCTATCTCTCATGCTGCCTATCCTGGAATCTGTAGCACATAGATGTGCCAAGGACCCAGGATCAAACTACTCTTCACTGGGCCATTTCCTGGTTTCAGGGGCTGGTTTCAGAGGCAGGGGAGCAGCCTTGGGGCAGAGGTAGGGTTCCTCAACAGTGGATGGGCTGCTCCCTGCTTACCACCTCTGTGGTACCCTCACCTCTGCCCAGAGTTTAGGTGCTGGCTGTGGTGGGTGAAGGAGAAGGTGCTGGCATTCGCTGGTCTCCCATGTCCACAGCATCTTCTGACACCGCTATCAGGTCTGTGCTTAGTCCATGGGCTCATCCTTTTGGGGATTTTCCAAAGCCATAATTCTGACGTGTTACAAGGGCTCCCAGGAGAGGTGAAGGAGGGCTTATATAGGGGAAGGAGGAAGGAGGAGCAAGCCACATAAGTAAGAGCCCTTCCCATCCTGGCAGATGGCAATGACTCTACTTTCTGTCCCTAGGGACACTTTGGACGGGTGGAATCACATGGTTGCCATCTTTAGAGACACTCCATCTTATGTCACCTGGTATAGTGACGCCTTCAGCACCTGTTCCCAGTATAACAATGGCAGGGTTTCATTCCTTCTAAAAGCTGCATAATTTCTCCTCATGTGAGGCTATTTGAATGTGAATGTACATGCATTTCTCTGAATGTCTGCTTTCAATTCTCTGGTGTACTTACTTAAGGGTAGGACTGCTGGTCATGTCGGTGACTTGCTGTGTTCTCTGCTGCTATTGGGGAATACCTGAGACCAGGTCATTTATAGAGGAGAGAGGTTTACTGTGACTCACAGTTCTCCAGGCAAGAATTTCAAGGCTGGGCAGCTGCATGATGTGAGGGTCTTTTGCAGCTTCAATTCACTCAGAAGAGGAAGGGCCAGCAAGCCATGTGAGGGAAAAGAGCCAACTCCTGGCAGCCACCCCATTCCCCAAAGACTTCAGCCCCTCCTGAGGCTCCACCACGACCCAAGTACCTCCCACCATGGTGGCACTGAGGAATGAACACAAACCTGCAGGGCAGCACACACAATCTGGCTTAGAGATTTCATTTTTAAGATTTGAATGTTCTCCTGGCTACTGCACTGTACACATTCCCGCTGGCCGTGCATGAAGCCTCATTTCTCCACGGCCTTTCTATTTTCTGAGCACCTGTCATCCCAGTGAGTATAGTGTGAGAAATCTCACTGTGGTTTACATTTTTGTTTTCCTGACAGTTCATGACATCAAGCCTCGTCTGCATGTTGATTGGCTCTGAGAGACGTCCCTCCCTCCCTTCTGCCCTCAGAGCCGGGCTGTTGGTCTCCCTGTCAAGTGCCCAGAGCTTCTCCTTGCCAGTGTTTGTGCCCACTGTGTCACTGCAGCCCTGTGTCTGGGCCAACTTGACTGTGCCATTTTCCTTTTCTTTTTATTGCTTTAAGAGTAGAATGAATATGCCTTTCCTAGGGATTGTTATAGAACAAAACCACAAGATAAGACAGGTCTAAGGTGAAGTAAAATAAGAAATCATGAGGTGGGCATGAGGTGTGACAAAACTATGGTCACCTAGTAAAATTATGAGCATTCGTTGCTCTTATAATGTTGATTAAACAAAAAAAAATTTTTTTATTGGTACCAGAGATCGAACTCACAACTGCCTGCTTGCAAGGCAGGCGCTTATGCCGCTGAGCTAAATCCCCAGCCCCGATTAAACAAAATTTGAAAGCATAAAATATTTTGGATATTTAAATGAGTTCCAATCCAAAATCTATGAAACAAGGGCAAACTCTTACCTCCTCACATCAGAAGACCTACAAGTGATATAGGGGAAAGAAACTCCCAACCTGCTAAATGTCCAGTACCAGTTTGTATCCTCTAAAATTGAAGAATGAATTCTAGGAACAACAAAGGTTAAGAGTAGAATGTATTTGCTGGGAGCACTTTTCATGGCTTCATCCTATTTCTAGGGCATTAACTTGAATCATCATTTAGAGTGACAGATGTATTGTGCTCTTTAGAATTGAAGGTTAGAAATCTATCAGTGCTCTGGCTTTCACCTGGTGTTGCTGGGAGTGAGTGAGAAATCCTGGCTGTGCCGAAGTGTTCCTTCAAGCCCAGCCCCCTCACAATGGCAGAGCAATGGTGTCACTAATGGCAGCACTAATGCCTTATACAGTGCATAAGCCCAGTAAATATTTGCTGGAAGCTAGGAAAATCCCACAGCAAAAGCACACAAATGGAGTTCATCAAAATGGCAGTGTTTACTCCAGTGCTCAGCGGCATGGGCCAGGGCATTGGGGTCTGAACCTCTCTCCAGGCAATAGGCCGGCAGAGAAGGCTGTGTGCAAATGTGAATCCTGATATGGGACCGTGTGAATCTGTGGAGGATTAGTCATCGGCCTGGATCAAGAGCTTGGGGAGCTTCGGAAGCTTGGGGAGTGTCATGGCCGCCAGCACTAGCATCAGCACTGAGGACTCTGGGTGCAGTGTCCTGTTTTACACTTGCTTCCGTGTTTGGGGGAGCTCTCCACTTATGGCCTGCACACCTCAGACGCGCACTTTCTAGACAGGGAGCAGCTCAGACAGCATGGCCTTCAAATGAGGATTTTGCTAACACACAGTGTTCGCGATGGTCCCCTGGAATCCTAAGGGACAGCTCCCTGCCTCAGCCTCCTGTGATGTTGTTAACATCTCTGCTTGGTCCCTGGAACCCCATGACTCACTGCTCTGGGCCCATGAGCCTTATACTGGCCTCCAGGAGCCTTATACTGTTGGTGGCCCTGGAAGGTATATATTTCCCCACAGCTCTTAAACTCTCATAAAAAATGCAAGCCTTAAATCTTGGATTTTTATGCTAATATCCCAGTGGGCAGATTTCATAGGGATTTTAAGGCATAGCCAAGACAGCTTGATAGTTACCCTGAAATTCTTTCAAACATATACATGGTGGAAATTCTTCTTTGACCTAGAATCTCAGTGCAATTAAGCTTGCTGATGTGTTGGGCGGGCAGGCAAGCGTGAGAAGTTGGGTCTGGCGCTGCTCCTGCCCCATCTTTTCGTGTACATTGTTCATGCTTCTTCCTGAGGTCTTCACAGTGCAGGCCTTCTTGGAGTCTGAAACCCATTCCCATGCATGTGTGGGAGAGGAGGAGGGTGCTGTGTGCTTTAGGGTCTCCCGAATGAGCTACAAAGCTCCTCCAGGCGCCAGACCTTATGTCCCCAACCTGCCCCTGCCACCTTGGCCATCCCCTCCCACCACGGGCTGCAGTGCAAGATCTGAGGGATGAGGCCTCTGGCAACATCTCTGACCCCAAAATGGGAAAATGATATCAGAACATGACAACAGGGGATGCTGTCCAGCCCCTCTTATTGACCACCAATCCTCCTGCTCAGATTCTCTCGAGGCACTTTGCTGTATGGGTCCCCAGAGAGTTCATGATTTAGGTGGCATCTGGGGACTTCACTTTCCTGCCTGAAAATCTCATTTGTTGGCAGATTTTTAAACGGGCTCTTAGGGGACACAACTCCTGGGAATGTTTCAGAGGCCTCACTTAGGTTCTTGTTAGTTCTGCTTTACATTTTGGAGTATTTTCTCATTTATGTGGTTAATTCCTTTGTTTTACAGATGTTTGTTCTCAGGGGACTGGCCCTGTGGCTGGGAAACAGGAAGCCCAGACCCCTACAAGTGTTCAAGGTGATGGAACCGAAGGCAGCTGTGGCTCTCTTGGCACTTGGGGGTGGAAGCTGGCTGGTGACACTGCCCCTGGAGGCAGTTGGGGCTCTCATTCTCCACAGATGTCTGCAGAGGTGGCAGAAGGGATGCTGGGTCCATCTGGAGACATCATGAAAAGAGCAGTTACCTGGTCTGGAATTCATTCCTTTTCCATGCTGTACCCCTGGTGGAGCCCTCTGTTGGCGAGCTCGGTAGGTCCGCACTGATAGGGCTGTCCTCCCCAGGTGAGACCTGAGGCTGCAGCAAAGCTCCTCTCCATTATACTTGGTGTCCTTGCCCTACAGCTGGAGCTTCCTCATCCTTGGAGAGCATGTGGGGTGTGCTCGGGAGGCCACCCACTTTGCCTGCAGCAGAGGTTTCAGTGAGCATTTTTTCTAGAGTTTACATTTTTCTCCTAAATATTTGAGACTAAGCCTATATAGTGCGCACAATAAAACAAATTTCCATTTTAACTTTATAAGCCCTTCTGTTTACAAAAATACCAATCAGAACATGCTGGGCCTGTGAGAGCCCACAACAGGGAGCTCATAGTCAGGCAGACTCAAGGACCTAGGGTGAGGCTGCACCCCAGGAGTTCCTGAGTCATCTGGGGTTTGCCCTGCTTGACCACGAGGGGTTGCTGGGCCTGGGGACAGCAGTTGTGAGGCTGCTCTCCTGTGTGTGTTTGCCACTGTGTCCTGCACGGTTGCTTCTTGCCTTGTTTTGTTCACCTTGGGGCTCCCCAGGTTTCTTCTTCCAAGCCTGGGTGTGCACAGCATCCATGGAACCTTCTCCTGGCCACAGCCCAAACCTCACCCCAGCAACCTCTCCTAAGCAGCAGTAAACTTCAGACCTCAAGATGATATGTTTTTTTTTTTAAGATGATATTTTTTGGAGTGGAGATTTAAAAAAACCAATTAGAAACCAAGTGATTTCAGTTTCTAGCTTTACCCACGTTCTCACCACAACACTCACCAGCGGATTCTATGGTTCTGGTGGTTGCTGGAGGAAAACCAGAAATTTTCAAGGAAAGAGAAATCCTCCCGCTGCTTTGTGGAACCCTGGTCAAGTTTATGTCTTGCGAAAAACATTTCTCACTCCTAAGTGTTGCCATACCACAAGGGGGGGCCCTCTGTGCTGGCTCTCCTAGGCACCCAGCTAGGTGTGGGAGGGGCTGGGTCTCAATGTGCGGCTCTTCTCCCCTCAACCCCTGAGACAGTGAGGCTCTCCCACTAGGTGACTGCAGCTTGCTAGGCTAAAATTCTGGAGTCTCTTTTCTTCATTCTTCCTATCACACAGCCTGCAATGAAAAGCCAAGGGAAGAGCCATGCTTGTTTCTTTTTACTGAGCAGACAAAGAGCAACAGCTTCCTAGAGCCCTTGGCAACAGTTTCTGCCAACTTCCTATCTGTGGGACTTTGGTCAACAGCAGGCTAAGGTTAGACCAATAAAGAGCCAGAGTTAGATCCACAATGGGTCAGGGTTAGACCAGGAGCTGGCTAGGGATAGAGCGATACCTGGCCAAAGTTAGAGGAATAACTCAAGTACTGGATCTGGGTCAGACTGGCTTGCAAGAGCCAATGTTCAAGTTCCAATCTTGAAAGTCAGTTTGTAAACAGTGGTTATGTTTAGATCTCACTTGTTCCCAAAGGCCGTGTGTAGGCAGGTGGCGGGCTGTGCCGTCAAGGGGATGCTGAGGTGATGGCTCTTCTCTCACCCCGTCACTGCCTTGAGGTGGGTGGGTTTCACTGCCACATGCTCCACCATGAGGCACTGCCTCATCAGTACCAGCGGTACCACAAGCTCAGAAGACAGAATCTCTGCAATCATGAGCAGAGACAAGGCTTTATTCCTGTTAGCTGTTTCCCTCAGGTACAGAATGCTAGCACAATAGTCACTATTAAGGATTCAGTTATGGTAACTTACCCATGGAAAGTCATAGATTAATATCATTATATAAGCAAACACATTATATTGAACACAGAAGTGAGAAACACCAAGAACTTGCCCCTTGTGTTTTGCTGTCATTGGTGCTCTGGAGGGTTCTGCATCTTCGATGCCTGTGTGGTGCAAGTGCCAAGAAAGCAAGGAAGACCCAAGGGCCCTGTGTTTGGTTGTTGGCGGAACGGCCTGTCCCCCTGTGACAGGTGAGATGCTGTCATCCATGGTTTATGCCCAGAAGGGACCAAGCAGAGCGTGTGGCTGTTGGCTGGTCATGCCAGGAGACTAGAGGGCTGGGGCTTAGGGCCCAGGGAGTCCAGCAGGGAGGGAGCTGCATTCAACATGAGACCAGTGGTCCTCAGCTAATGAAAGTCCTGGACACCCGGCTCAGGTGGGAACACGGGCTCTGTGTCACTACAGGTTGATGTCCCCCCGAGTTCTGGGGCACACATGTGAGTGGTGCCAGCAGCGCCCCCATCATCCTCTAATGTAGCAGCTGGCTGGGTGCAGACAGGAGTTTGGCAAAATCAAGAAAGCTGCCATGTGAATAAGACTCTAAAGTGTTGGCAATAAGAAGTATTGAACACTATTTTCTGTGTTCTGGGCTATGCATCCCCAGGAAAGCCTGTGACGGCTCTGGTGTGTATGTAACAGGAGCTTTGAGGAGGCCACCGTAGATACGCGGCATCTACTTGCTGAAGGCCACCACTATAGCACCTCTGAGATCTGAATGAAGTGTTTCCTCACTGCCAGCCCATTCCATGGATTTGGGTCTTGTCAGCTCCATCTCTGGTCTCCTCCTACACCTGTGTCCATGTGTCTATGGCTCCCTGCCGCTCTCTGTATCATTTCTCCTGCTGTGCTTCCCAGGAGGGTCTCAGCAAACACACAGTGAATTGGGAAAAGGAGGAAGTATGAAATTTGTGACTTGGCGGGTGAGGAGACAGGAAGGACTGTGCTCATTGCTTCAAACTGTATGGGTAAAACTGAAGGATCAGCATAGATGTTGTTTCACCTTGATTCATGCAGCACAGGGTAGGCGGCACTGCGTGCAGAGCCCTGCCTGAGACCGGCGACACTCAGCTGGAATGTGGCTGTCTCCTAGGCTGGGGCCAGGCCTTGTCTTCCCACCTGTGTGCATCCGCCTCCTGGAGCAGGTGTGGCTGGTCTACCCTAGGATGGCAGCCCGAGTCTGCATGGGGCTGGAGACAGCACTGCTCTGCAGGAGTGAGGGTCTGGGCTGTCCTATAACCCATGCCCTGTGGAGACTTGGACAACCAGAACTGTGAGACAGGGCAAGTGCGCTCTGAACTGGGTCTCTGGCATCTGCTTTATGATATGGATGGCAGGGCTCATGTGTAGTGATCACCCAGCCAACAGTGCAGGCCAAATCCCACATTAGCAAGTTATTTTACAAATAATTTCTGAAAAATCAGAAATGCTCAGTAATCCCTAAGCTAGGACATATTCATCCAAAAATCAGTACCACAAAATTCTAGGAAAGTGTTCAAGTACAGTTTGAACAGAACAGAAATTAGTTGCTCTGAGGGCCAAGAATTCTGAAGATAAGACGAAAACGGGTTTGGATTGGGCTGGGTTGGGAAGCACACCATCCCCCACCTCCCAGTGAGACACCTCAAGGGCAGCAGAGTCATTTAGCTGCTTCCCATGCTGGGTGCTGGGCGGCTCCAGAGCTTTGTGGTGGTAAGACACCCTCTTGGGGTGGCCTTTGATGTGGTTAGGTAAGCACTAAGCAGAGGACAGAGGCACCCTGGGATTTCTTGGAAGCAGTCAGGGCACAGAACCTGTCCTAGTGGTGGAGCCCAGTCCTGGGGTACACAGGCCACCAGCACGTGATGCTGGAGTGGTCCCTGGAAAGCCATGTCCTGCAGGCAGGCTTGTCCTGCTGAGTCTCCTTGGGAATGCAGCAGCTGTATCCCAAGAAGCAGAGCCCCTCATACCTCCTCCTCCACACAGCTTTCCCACCAGTGTTTATGTCCTGTGGTAGGTGGAAGAGCATGGCTCCTCCTCTCACAGCCAAGGCGGCCTTCAAGGTCTGTCCTTGAGCCAGGGAGGGCAGCTTGCTGGGGCCCCTTTAGTGTCGTCTTTGTGGGAGCCTCTGGGGCCCTTTGACCTTTCCCATTCTTCTCGGACTTGGCTCCCAGTTGGTCTGGCAATGACTCAGAGGAAAGTCGTTCTTTGTCTGCTTTGGCAGCAGATGCCTGAGAGGTTGAATTTATAGTTTTCCAGCAAAGATTAATAACCATTCAATGATTAAATGGAAAGATGGCGGATGGTAAACTAACCTCCTGTTCAGAGGTCTCCTTGCCCCTTGGTGTTTGAGGAGGCCTGCAGAAGGCCAGGCGTGGTGGTGCCCTCTGCCCTCTGCGTACTGTGCACAGCTGCATTTGGCCGTGCACGGCTTGTGGATATTCCCTGGTGGTGCTGGCTGAGGGGCAGGAGCCCAGCAATGAGAGGGGCCAGCAGTGCAGCCAGGGCGGCGGGGACATTCTGTGACTTGGTCACCCAACTCTCCTCATTTTTGATTTTTTCTGTGATGTGCACTCTTGTGTCTATTTACATTTTTATTATTTATTTAAGTGGAAGCTTTTGGTTTGTTTTACACAGGAGTTTAGATCCCTGAGTTCTCTTTTTCTAAAATTCATATTTGAAGCTATAAATATCTTCTTGGTAGTACTTGGTTGTAGTCTCACATTTTGGTGCATTTTCTTATTCAGTTCAAACTATTCTGAAATTCCCTTATTTCTTCTTTGATCTGTTTACCAGTAGACAAGTTGCTCAATTTTCAAATATTTGATTTTTAACAATCTTTTGTTGTGAAGTTCTAGTTCTACTTTTGTGTGGCCAGACAATCCACTTTCCATGAGTTTATTCATGCAAAATTCCTCAGTTTCTGCTGTTTGGCCAACATATGGGCTGCTGGGCAGCTGAACAAATCCTCGCCCCAGGACCTTGACCTATGGCTGTTTGGAGGGGGCCTTTTCCGGAGTCACTGGGCTGCTGGCCACTGAGTGGGCACTTGAGAAAACACACATTTTGAAGCTGCTGGGGTCCTACGTATCCCTACATAATCAGGTCGAGTTGACTAATATTCCTGCTCAAATCTGCTCTGTATTTTTGATTTTTTTTTTTTTTTTTTGGAAGCAGAGTCTTGCAATGTAGTTTAGGCTGGATTTGAACTCAAGATGATCCTCCTACCTCAGTCTCCTGAGTGCTGGGATTACAGGTGTGTACCACCATGTCCTGCGTTATTGACTTTTTAATAGGTTCATTTTATCAATTAGAGACATGCATTAAAATGTCCAATTATGGCTGTACATGGGGACACATGCCTATAATCCCAACACTTGGGAGGCTGAGGCAGGAGGATTGCCATAAGCTTGAGTTCAGCGTAGGCTACACTACATATTAAGACCCTGTGTCAAAAACAACAACAACATAGCAACAAACTATGATTGTGAATTTATGTTTCTTCTTAAATTCTGTCAGTCTGGTATCATATATCTTTAATCTTGCTGTGTGCACATTTAGGATGACATTTTCCTGATAAATTGACCCTATATCGTCATGAAGGGGACAAGGGTGAGACTAGGAGAGCGTGTTAAGCAAAGGTGTGGTATTCAGAAGGCAGCAGGCCCCTGTGTGGGACCAGTGGGCTCTGTCGTCCACCTGCTCCTGCATCAAGAGTGGCTGCCCAGAATTTCCCTCTTACATCCTTTCTAGGTGAGTAATTGGATCATGGAATTTGTGCTGCATTATTAACGGTTTACTTGGCAGAGTTAATTACTTGGAGGAATGTGGAGTAGCAGGAGCTCCAAGCCAGAGTTTCCCGCTTTAACGGCTGTTCGGCTGTTCATCCGGTTGCCCTGGGCAGAACCAGCTCCTCCCACAGTGCAGGCATCCCTGGAGGAGGCAGGTGTGCAGACTACCGAGCAGCGGTCCATGGCATGCAGTCCTACGGGCCTCCTAGGCCAGAATCTTTACTTTATATTCATTTCTTAGCCATTGTTATTGATTGAACACTTACCTTATCTTTAATTCTTGTTCATTAGTATTATAAATATCAAATCATAATTCCTCTACATAATTATTTTGCATAACTCTGAACATTAAAGTAGGAAATAAAATTGCAGGGTAAACTGGAATGAACACTTGAGAAGTATTCATTTAAAATATACTTTAAAGTTCAGAGAGTAAATAAGAATGATAAATAATATGCTATGAAATTAACGTTACATAGTGTTGTGAGAATACCTTCACCTAACAAAGCCACACACTGTGGAAGTGACACTTGGCCTGATGCATGCTCACAAGACCTGTGACAATGTTACTGGCAATTAAGGATCCAGATTTAACTGACTTTTCTTACAAAGAGATGTAAGAGTTTGTTAATTCCTTTTTCCTTTTACAGTTGTTGGCTCAATGGTTACCAAAAGCCCACTTTCAGGATGTGGGGTGGCCCTGGGACAAGATGACAGGCCTCTGGGTCCTCATGGAGCCCAGCTCCAGGACACAGGGTGCCTCTGGGACAGCACAGGTATCCTGGTGGTCACCAGACCTAGGTTGCATGGTGGCCTGAGTGTGGGTCTCTGTGGCATCCAATCCCTGTGTCTCAGTGTCATTGGGTGATCCCAAAAGAGACCAGTGAGCCTGGCCCACCATGTCTTGGTTGTGGCCCGATGCACCCCATCATCTTGTAGAGATGTCCATAATCCTGCTTTGGTTTCCATGGGTCAGAACTGAGTAAGTGGGGAGCAGATGCTGCCACATACCCTATTTCCTCCTCTGGGATCACCCTCCATGTGGAGTCCCCTCTGCCCCAATGTCTCAACACCCCAGCTCCTTATGGTACTGAGCCTGGATGGGATCTGGGATTGTTGAACACAGAAGTCCCAGGCACTTGGGCAGAGCAGCAGAGGGCTTAGGCCTCTGTTCTGACCCAGTCCCCAGGCAGCTCTGTGAACCTTAGGAGGTGCTATAGGGTCCTGATCATTCCCTCTTGTCTCTGTCTCTGCTGCCATTCTAGACCTTCTCTGCTGTTCCCCACGTCATCCTGATTGGGCCTTGATCCTGACCTATACCCTCATTCATGGTCACTGACTGGTTTCCCCCAAAGTCCCACAGAGCCCTAGGAGTCCTCCCCATGCTTCTGGAGAACAGAACTGAGCTCACGTTTGCCTGACTGGGTCTCTGTCCAGCTGTCCTGCTGAGAGCCACACCTCTGTGCCAGGCTGCTCTGGCTGACCCAGGCTGTTTCTTGTTCCCACATTCTCTCCACTCCTTCACAGGGGCTTTGGTGCAGCCATCTTTCATGAGCATCGCTGTGCGATCCAGAGCTCCAGTGCACAAACTTGGGCCTGGAACCCCCAGCTCCCGTGAAATGAGGGGGATTCTTGGGGCCTGGGAGGAAGAATAACCTCAGGCTGCGCTGACTCCCGCATCTCAGGGCTTGCTCTGACTGGACTGTGGGAATTTACTTTATGATTTAAAAGTCACAACTCCTCACATTCTGAACTACATTATTTAAACCACAACTGTGTGTGGTTTTCAGGTGCACTGAATCTCTGTGCTGCTTTCCTAGACTGTCAGATGTGGCCTTCACACATGAGGCTGCAGAACCCTGAGTTCAGAGCGAGTCTGGCCCTGGTCCATGTGGCTTGCTGACTATATCCCAAAGGTTTATTTCTCTGATGTTCCTCCAGTTCCAGGTGCTGAATATACAAAGCTCCAACCAAGGTCCCAGGGACAGCCTGGGGGCATCTAGCCAAGGATGGCCCTGCAGGGCAGAAGATGAGGGACAGTGGGGGCTGCTGCCAACTGGAGGCTGCCTGCCCCACTTCCCTCATCAGGGTGTAGAAGACACAAAGGAAGCAAGACACCCTTTTCTTTTCTCCCTCAATGAGCACTTTTTGGGTATAAAAGATGCCCTGGATCCTTTGTGACACCGGCGGCCCCACACAGCAGCTCCCAGGCTCCTGCTGATCTGCAAGCAGCGCTGACATGGACAGCAGGGACACGTGAGCTCCGCTGCAGTGGGAGGCTGGCACTGGTCCACTTCGTTAGTGGGTCAGGTGAAGCTTGGCTTTCAACACAGCTGAAGAGAAGCTCTCTAGAGACAAGATGCTCACCACTCTTTATATTAAAGACAAGCAGTTCAGAACCAGTGGGGCCCTTTTAGGGTTCCCTGGAAAAGACAAAGCTCCCATTGAAGTGTGCGAGGCTTCTCAGAGTGGCTGGAGTGTGACCGGGTCCCACCATCCCCAGGGCATACACTCACCTTAAGGACTTATTCCATGAGAACACTCAGGCAAACATAAATACATGTAAATAGCAGCTCAAACAGAGACGGGGAACTAACCAAATAAACCAAGTTATGTCTAGGCTGTAGAGTGATACACAGCTGTGGAAAATAATGCAGATCTGAGCTGGGCATGCTGGCACACACCTAGAATCCCAGGTATGTGAGAAGCTGAAGCAGGAGGATCTGACGTTTGAATCCATCCTGGTCCACTTAGTGAGACTGTCTCAAAAAAATGGGAATCTGTATGCTCAGATGGGAAGGATCTCTGCTCCATCTTAATTGGAAAAAGCAGGCTGCAGAACCTCTCTTCAAGATGACCTAATTTCCATGAGTAAACAGAGGAGGAAGGAAGATCTGTTTGGTAGACAGGAAATCCTGGACCCACATTAGTGCTCACAATCACTACCTCTGTGGAGCAAGAGGGAGGAGAGCACAGTGTCACTGCACCTGAAACCTGAAGTTGTGTCCCCAACACTTTTTACCTGACAGAGCGCACTGAGCTTTCTCGTCAGACAGGACCAGCACTAGCCCTCATCTACTGCCAGTCGGCTTTGTTCTGAGGAACTCACCAGATGCTGGTCTACTTGACCATTTCTTAGTTTGGCATCCTGAGAGTTTGATTTTTAGCCCTGTGTTATATTCCTCTTGACAATACAGCGGTGTGCTTGAGTGTGGAGTACAGATATATTTTCTCTGTGGCACAGTTGTGGTTAAAGGACACATGCATATATTTCCCTGTGGCACAGTTGTGGTTAAAGGTAGGCACACATATGCATACTCCAGCACACACACGCATACCTGCACACCCTCTTCTGTGTAGTCATATGCCCTCTCGTGCACACTGTACACACACGTGCACCAAGTCCCACTCTGGTTCTGGCTGATGGGTCTTCAGGTTATGGGAGCTGAGGAGCCAAGGACAGGGAAGGTGGTGAGGCTGCACCCACTCCTTGGCCACTTGAGACCTGCCTTTTCCCTTGAGGACTTGAAAGGTCAGGGATAGCTTCCAGGGAAACTTCCTCAAAGAAGTCAGGTGGCCAGTGGGATTCTGTCTGCACCAGTGGATTGAGCATCACAGTAAGTCTGTACTCATGACAAATGTGACACCAGGTTACAGCAGGATCATGACATCACACATACCCTTGGGACACAAAAGAGCATATAATGAGCTGAGCCACCACTCTGCACTAGTCAGCTCCCTTGGCCCTGTATACAGTCTTCTTCCTGTCCCCAACATGAACATGCTGGCTTCAGCACCTGCTTAGACAGCAAGTACATTCCATCTGCGGCTGATGTTCACACCGGTGATTGAGGACCACAGTGCCCACTGGCCCTCAGCCCTGCTCAGGGCGACAGCACTCATCCACACCTGGACATCAGCAGCATCTCACTTCCTTGCAATGGCGGAGAGGCAGACTGAGCTAGGGCTGTCTCTGTTCACTGTGCTCCTCTTTGTATCTGTAGCCCCCTACCTGGTCCCAGGTCGTCCTGTCCTCCATCCCTTAAGTAGGTTAGTGTTTGGGCCTCTGGCTCCCCTGAGCCACCCACCCCACTGCAACTGCAGACATGGGGCCTCTCTGCAGTGCTGTGGAAGCATCCAGAGATGCCCTCCTGGACAAGCAGTGTGGCCACCCCCGGGATGCGCAGACCTGGGCTGGCTCCATCATTTTATTTCCAGGGACATGGGCGTGGGGTCTTGTTCTTTGCTGCCTCTTGGACCCCCTGGTTTCTGGCCTGGGCACATCCATATTGACCACCAGCCCCTGTGTGACCAGGGTCCACATGGCCACTGAAGCCTCCAGGTGGACTCTGAAGGCCTCAGTTGAAGGCACAGGTTGTGTAACCTGTGCTGAGACCCCTGGCAGGGGCTGGCAGGGTCAGCCACTGGGATGACCTGGCCCCTCCCTTTATGTCTGCCTCTAGGCCATGCTGGACATTTCCTTGGGGTCTGTAGACACTTGAAGAAGTGGAAAGCAAGAGCTACTGTTTGCAAATACTGGACAGGAGGGTTCATATCATTTTATAATTTGTTAAAACAATTTCCATTGAAACAGAAATAACTTTAATATTCTCATCAAAAAGAGAATGGTTTACTGTTGCCCCCAGGTAACAACTGTCCCTTGGGCCTATCACCAGGCCAGATAGAGCATTCTCCTGCCAACACAGAATCAGGGTTGTGCCAGGCCCTCCTTGAGACAGCCTACTATCCCCTGGTGGCTGGGGCTGAGGAATTGGGGTGCAGAGGCCTTTAGGGACATAGCCATAGGCCAGGAGAGAAGCAGAGGAGGGCACTGCTCTTGCAGACCCCATCTGGTCTGTTGTGGTTTGAAGATCCAGCTTCTGTCCAGCAGCCTGAGGGCCAAGGGCGTGATGCCCAGTCCGGTTCAGGCCTGGCTCCCAGCACAGGATTTGTGCTGCGTGGACTCAGCAACCTAAGAATGCTTTTGTTTCCTCTGTGTCTCCTGGCCACAGATGTAGTTCTGACATTTAGAGTTGGTCCCCTGTTCACGTTGAAAGTGGATTCACCTAAGTGGTTGAGCAGCATCATGAATGAAATGATCTAAATGCTACCATTTAACAATAATGAGTACTGAATCAAACCCATTACATTGTGGCCTGTCCCACACACAGGGATGAGCTGAGGAGGGGATTTCATGAAGGGTGGGCAAATCTCAGACCAGCTGGGTGGTGGCAAGTCGAACAGCAGGAGGAAGCTGCACACTGCAGGACACGGCTACATGACCGAGGTCTCCGTCTGCAGGAAGGACTGGGTACGGGAGCCCCGGTGAATCTGCAGGGCACTCTCTGAGCCATGCTGAGAGATGGACCAGCTGTGCAGCCGGTAGTTTCGGCCCCCAGGCTGCGTCAGGCACAGGCCTCGCCACCTTCTCTTCAGCTCACACTGCACCTGGGCGAGGGCACTGCAGATGTTAGCTGTTTGCTCTGGGTGGAGGGCCTGCAGCCGTCTCCAAGGCTGAGCAGAAGGATGAAAATGGCCTGGAGCAGAAGGGACGGGGATGCCCAGCCAGAGCAAGAGGAACTCCCTGGGCACCCCAGTGTCCCTAGGGCATGGACCACTCTTGATGGGTTGAAGTGTGGCTGCTCCTGACAGAGGTCAGGAGACGTGGTCTGTTCTAGGCACAGTCCTGGCCACATAGGGATCTCGCCAGGAATCTGAGCAAGGGGTGCTGTTACCTGTGGAAGCTGGAGGGGGGTGATGTGAGGGACTGAAGCTCAGGGAAGAAGGGTGGGCTCTGGAAAAATGTCCTTAACAATGGAGGAGGGAGCCAGGCTGTCAGTCATGGAAGGCTGAGGAGGACCCAGACCTCAGATTCATCTTGGGATGCGGGGGTTTCCTGGAGGTCCTAGCCCCTCCCACCAAAAACCTGCTTTTATGGCCTGAGCCATGGTCAAGGGGCAGGACACTGACAACAGTGGTGCTGGGCTCTGAATTCTACTGTGTGGAGGGAAAAAACTATTGTACTAAGGGGAGCTGGGCCAAAATGTGCAGGGAAGGGTTCTGGCCTGGTCATGAGGGGTGGGAACACAGCACAGAGTAGGGAGGAAACTGGGACCAGGACTCACCTCACTGTTCAGGAAGCAGTAGAGCACTGCCACCACCAGGCCCTGCAATGGGAGAGTGTCAGTGTGGTTCGAGGCTGCCCGCACCCACGTGCAACCCCTGCACCCACCTGGAAGGACCCGACACACAGTTCGAACAGGATCTGGTACTGGGCGGAGATGCCTTTGGGGAAAACTGCAAACACCATGTAGTGGATGCCAAACAACGGGATGAGCAGCAGTGTGGACTTGGCCAGCCTCCTGGGCCAGAAGGAGAGGGGACACAATGATGGTGAGTGAGGGCCGCAAGCCAGGGTGTGTTGGGAATGGGGCATGCATGGCCTCATCTCTTCTTGCACCTTCTATCTGTGACCCTGGCCCTGGTGCTGCTTTCCCTGTGCATGTGGGAAGCAGGTGACAAAGCTTTGTCTCCCAAGGGGGATGCTGTCCCAGGTGTCCTGTGGGGCTCATGCATGCTGTGGCTGTCAGGGGATAGACTGGCCTTATCATTGCTGCCATCATCAGTTACTGGGCTGACCAAAGGGCTGACCCAGCACAGTGTCCTTGGTGCACAGTGGTCTGACAGCTGTTGATGAAGGCACGGTGATGGGGTGGGGTTGGCTGTGGGTTGGTATCAGCTCTGCCAGAGAGTGGCTGTACATTCTGAACGTTACCCTCAAAGCAGGACCTTACCTTCTACCCTGCTTCTCCAATTGTCTTAGCTAGAAGGCCTGGAATTTCAGCTCCTGGGAATCCTGGCATGGAAGCCTAGTGACAGCACAGACCCTTTGGGGCCTACTGACCCCATCCAGTTTTCAGAGGTGACAGGATTCACTCTAAGAGCCCAGCTCTGGGCTGTGGCTCTGTGGCTACTCTTTGGAGTCGTGGGTCTGACCACGTGTCTGCTAACATTGCCCAGGGGCAATGTGCTTCAGACTCTTGGGGCTCAGGGTGAGCCTCCTGCTTGCCTGGACATTGAGCTGAACGAGTGTTCCCTCAGCTGGCCCCCAACACTCAGGAAAGCACCACCACCTTCAACAACAACTTCTCCTTTTCTCCTTCACCATATTTGTCTTCTCCTTCTTGTACTATTTATGCTACATTCCAGTAATTTTAAAATGTTTTCTCTTGAGACAGGCTCTTGCTAAAGTTGCTCAGGCTGGGTTTGAACTCTCAATCCTCTTGCCTCAGATTCCCAAAGAACTGCATTACAACTGCTAACACCAACTTCTTTAACTCATTTTTGTAGTACCTCCCTTAAGTCCACACCTCGTTAGGTAAGGCTAATCCTGGAGGTGTGTTCCTTCCCCTGCACCCAGGATTTCTCCCGCCATGGGTGGGGGCCTGCAGTCAAGGCCCATCCTGGGAACTGTGATGGTCAAGAGAGCCTGCTCACAGCCCTTATTGGCATGTCCACATGGTCACTGTGGACTTGAGCTGGCGTGGCCACCTCTTGCAGAGCCCAGGAGGCACAGCACAGCACCTTGTCCTCCCCATTTCATAGAGAGGTTTCATCAGTCATATAACTCTGTTTCAAAATAAAAGCATCTCTCTCAAGACTGACTTCACACCAAGGAGCCTGCGGGAGGCCAGCACAGATGCTTAGGTCTGCAGAAGGTCAAGTTCCAAGAGTTGCCTGGGCAAGGCAGATCTTAGATTTCCTATGTGACACATGGCTGGATACAAGTGTTCTACAAGTCCTCTCACAGTGCTTCCTTCAGGTACTGTGTCTTCTGGGTGACTTCCAGGGACTCTCAGACCTTGGTGACAGATAGTGCTTTCATTTCACAGATGTAGAAACCAAGGACCAAGTGTGAGTCACTTTTCTTAGCCCCTTACTGGGCTGTGGCCCCATAGCAGGGTTCTTTCCCGGTGGCCACCCTGAGCCCCACATAAGCAGATAGGCAGCCTCCCAGAGGACACAGCTCTGAGCTGTGCAGCACTGTAGATCCATGTGCCAGTCTTCTCCTGAGATGAATCAGCTCTTCACCTTAGACTCAGGATTACTCAGACCTGAGACAGGAACTCAAGCTTTTGCTTATGAACCATGGATAGAAAAGTATAGAATTTCCACGTTTCCTCATGGAGTCCTCAGATCATCACTGATTGGCCAGCCCTCCACTGAGGGATGATGGGGGCATTCACCTAACTTGTGAATGACCACTGGGCTATCACCAAGAAAGGACATCAGGTGCTAGCTGTATTCTCAAGGCTGTGGGCCATGGGGTTTGACAGAGAAGACAGAATTAACCTAAGAGTGATGCATCATCCAGGGGACAGTTTACCTCACAGGATGTGGTTACTGCCTAACAGCATGATCACGCCAGGGACCTGGTATGCTACCTATGCTCACACAGGAACTGGCAGGCCTAGGGGTTGGCATTAGCCATGCCTATGGCTGACATGCCACATGGACACAGGAGCTGGGCAGAAGTACACTCACTTGTACTGGGATTGGTCATTGCCACCCACATCCGGGGATGTCAGCTTTTGCAGTAGAATCCTTATGATGCTGATGAAGAGCGCAAAGTTGACCTGTGCAGAGACACATGGGGACCTGATTTCTCTGTGCACAGCAGGAGTGCCTGGGGCACCGAGAGGCCAACACCCCGTCACCACAAAAGCCACTACCACATGCCTCGGAGAAGTGTGGGGATGCCAATGGGACAGACCCAAGCCCAGCCTCATTGCAAAGTCTAGCTAGGAGGGGCTGGGACCTCCTTCCTACTGGGAACCACATCCCCGAGGCCTCTTCAGTCCTGAAGTCCTCATGGCCTTTTTCAGGACGACTGAGCAGATGGTCATCATATCCAGGGGAGTCCACATGTCCCCAGAAAGTTACTCACCAGGATGGAGACCAGAATGGGTATCCGGATCACCCACCAGGGGATGCTGTGGTCATTTGTGTCCCAGCAACTGCGGAGAAGGAGAGCTGAGTCAGGCCGAGCTCAGCATGAGCACCTGTGCAAGGAATATACCTATGCCTGCAGGGTCCCACACTTTTCTGCCACCACCCTCTCAGATACCAGGCTCTGCCTGGAGGCAGCGCAAGGTGGTATCCCAGTGAGGGAGGCTCTTCCCTTCCAATCTCAGTCCTATGGTCCATAGTATATATATGGGACCAGTGTGGCCCACGGCAGCCCTGAGAAGCTGAGCAGTCATCTCTCACGGGCTAGCGAGGCCCAGCCTCACACTTTTTTCTGCTAACAATATGAACAGGACTTTTTGTTCTGCAGACCAATTTCCTTTCACGCCTCAAATGGAGCTGAGGCAGGTCTGGCTAGGACTTACACCTATTCTGTCTGGCAATAATTTGGATTTTGGTTATCAGTGTGTGGGTTGTCTACTGAGAAGCATGATCCATGCTATAAACAGCCTATCAAACTCCCTCCTAGACCCACATCCCTCCAGGGCCCACAGGATGGGGACAGCAGGGGGCTTAGTCCACTCTCTGGGACCTCCAGAACAGGGGTCTGAGGAGGAATCACTGCAGGATCCCCCAAGTTGTCAATGTGCTGAATCACACACTAGAGCAGGGATTGTGTTAGGCCACCGACCTCTAGGGGCTCTGCTGCTGAGAAGAGCACACACACCAGGCCTTCACAAGGCATGCTTGTGCGGCAATGCCTGCCTATGAGTTTAGGGGCAGAGTCTGGTTCTCCACACACAGAGCATAAGCCATGGGAACTGGTTAGCCAATGCCAGCCATAGAGGTCACTAGGCCCAGTCTCAATCCTCTGCTCTGTAGATACACTTGCCTCCCTGTGGTTTTCATTTGTAAACCTGCTGTGCCACATGAGGTGCCATTCACTTTTGCCTTGGTTTCTCCACAGCCAGACCTGGCCTCGTGCTCTAAGTGTCTGAGGCTTCCCCACTTACAGGACCTAAAATACTCCTTTCCTTACCAGGAACAAGCTTCTCGAGCTCCCACATGACCAGCATGGCCAGACCCATTTTGAAGGCCAGGAGTGGGCACGACTCACCCTGTGTCTTCTAAAGAGAGCCGGGCAGCCGTCCACACTCCAATGCAAATGGTGGGGATGCCTGCCGGAGACACTGGGTCAGACCACTCCGTTCAGACAGCCATCAGGCCCAGCCCACTTAGTACTGGGCCAGACTTCCAGGAAAGAGCTTCCCGCCCAAGGGTTAAGCCTTCACCAATATGGCTGCACCTGGAGCCCAGCTTTCCCAGGCAGCAAGGCAGTCAGAGCATCTGAAAGGCGAGGATCTGACTGAGGCTAGAACAAGGCTTCTGGTGCAAGAAGGACAGCTGCAAACTCAGAGGCTCAACTGATGAGGCACCCTGCCTTCAGGGCCTGACACAGATCCTATGTGGGTGACGTCTGTCCTGCTGCTTCTTCCTGCTTCTGATTTCTGAACACCAAGAGCTGGCTGGCAAGAAGGAAGAGTCATAAAGAACTTCCCTCTTTGTTTGCAGATCAGTTTGAATCTGGAGCAAAAGTGCCAGGAATGGGTTTTTGACTTCTAAATGAAACATTTTAAGCCAGTTCTCTGATTTCCAGAAATGCCCAAGTGTTATGACTTGTGTCTGGATGCCCCCCAAAGCCTCATTGGGCTTTTTCAGAGGTGGCTGCATCCATAATGTGTAACTGACTCATGGTGCAATGCTAGGATTGAGGGCATTATGGTGAAGGGTGTGAGTGCTGCCCACTCTGAGAAGCCTGGGTAAGATATAAAGGGTAGAAAGTTCTGTGGTCCTCCCTCCCTTGTTGCTTTGTTACCTTCTGTCTGCCATGAACTGTTTCTCCTCTGTGATGCCTGTTTGTCACACCATCTTGCATTGGAGCCAGCCAGTTATGAACTAAAACCTCTACAAACTTTGACCTAAATAAAATTTCCCATTTAACTTTGAGTGTTGGGTATTTTGTCTCAGCAACGAGAGAAAAGTAACTAAGGCACCAAGTACTGTCTGCCAGGATCTCCTGTCCCCTACATGATCCTGAGGTACGCATAAAAGAGTGAAAGGTTTTCTAGGCTGAAGAAGTCTGTTTCCTGGGGGGGATGGAGTCAGGGGAGTGAGTCAGGGTAGAGAGGTCCTCACCCCATCCAATCAGCAGGTAGGCTAGGAAGCATCTGCTGGGGGAGAAGATGGCCACCAGGAGAGTGTGAAGGTACAGCCCCTCTACCAGCAGCCAGTAGAAGTTTGCCATGATGCAGTACTGGAAGAATACCAGGCTGAGCTTGCAGCCAACCTGGAACAGAGAAAGTGGAGAATGTGTCCTCAGCAAATACTTACGGCAGATTACTGTTGCCATGTTTGTCTACAGGGTGAAGGATGCGCCTGGGCTCGAGGACTGTGATGCACAGGGATCTCCTTGAGGGGTAACATGGCCAAGAGGGTGGGGAAATCACACCCAGGACAGAGCGCTGTGACAGCTCCAGCTGTGGGTACACTCCTGGGTGCCATGCTCTGCTCAGCTCCCTTGACCTTTGTGGCCTTCTTCCCCACCCCTCTGACATGTGGGCTCTGTTCTTTCTCCATGGTCCACTTGTGTTGTGCTCCCTTGGGACAGGAAGTGGCGTGTGCAGTGTTCCGGGGCTGCACTGCTGCCTGACAGGCTGGGCTGGGAGCTTTGAGCTCTGCTGTGGCTGTGGCTTCTGACCTCTGTGCCCACATCTGAGCAGGATGCCTAGGAAAAGCTCAACTGGGGAGGCCACTTCCCTATCAACATTTCAGGAAGTTTAGGAAGAGAAAACAACTGGTACAGCGAGGTTCCCGATGCATCTTTACAAATTCTGACCCTGTAATTTCTCTGGTAGTAAGATTAATTTTGATTTTCAGAGATGAAATCAAGATAAAGCAAAGGTAAAAGTGAGAAATCTAAAAAATGAATTACTTTCCCCAGGGATCTAAAACTATTGTCCCTAGACAAAAATGCTACATTCTATACAATAAATTCATTCCCATATCCTAGATGTCCTTTCATGCAATTTAACTTACACCTGAACACTGACAGATGGGTGGATACACTGCAGCATGTTCATGTAGTAGATGTGGTTATACACATACACAAGCACATGCTTACACACGTGCACATGCGTGCACACACACACACGAGGGGTCTTCCCAGGGCCTGCTTCCTTTCTCTGTGCACACAACATCCTGCATCCATAGGTGTATAGTCCCTGAGAAAATGAGGGTATTTAGCACCATGTCCCGAAACTTCCCTCTGTGTCCCCAAGATGTGACAAGTCAGGAAACACTAAGTGGATAGGACTGGATGCCACAGAAAGTGTTATGTGGAGGACACTGGGATCTGGGCAAGCTGACACCACCAGCGGAACCACCTCCCTGTGCTGTGTGATCAATCATACCTGGCAGCACTGGTCATGCAATGGGACAAGGACAGCTAAGGATGTTGTCGGGATGTTTTTGCTCTACAAATCTCCCTGAATACCTGCTGCGAGTGACCCATCTAACCAGCCATGGAGCCTGCCAAGTGGTGGTGGTGTTAGGTTCCTGCTGTCCCTCATGGAGTTGCTGGGCGGTGCTGTTGCTGAGTACATACAGAGTCCACGGGATGTGCCAGGAAGTGCTGCTGTTAATTGAGTGTGCATCTAGTGGGATTTGTCAGGTGCTGTCACTGAGTGTGCACTGGGTGGGATTTGCTGAGTGGCACTGTCACGGAAGGACCTGGCTTCTTGTGGACCTTTTGGGGACCTGCCAGGAAGTGTTGTTGGACCCTTATGCATTTCATGGGATTCTCCCTTTCTATTAAGTGGAATTAACCTTTCTCTATTAGTCTTAAACTCATCTCCAGGCATTTTCTTCTGTCCTTCAGGTACAGATAAAGGAGTGAAGCATGTTTTGGACTGAAGGAGTCTGTTGCCTGGGGGAGATGGAGTCAGGGGAGAGAGGCTGGACAGATGCTGCCCTAACCCTAATCAGCTCCCTCAGTTGGGAGGCAGGGGAAAGGCTCTTTTATCACAGTTTCCTTAAATAAGATCTAAAGAAAGACAACTCCTCGGAGCAGGGTTAGAGTCCACCTCAGCACAGAGTGCACACCTCAGGGTCCCTGTCTCAGGAACAGAGCTGCCAGCTGGGGGATCTGCCAGGCAAGGGTTCCTTATCTCTATTATCACAACAGACTCCACATATAACCTAGTCCTGTATCACGAGCAAGGCTGTCCCGGACATGCCTTTATTTACAGGGTGTGTTAATGGCTTCAAGTCACCAAGGGTCTTCCAGCTCAGAATGAAATGAATTCACACCTACTCAGGCCAACCATGTGCCAGCAGATGATTCTGCCACCTGGGGTGTAGGAGGTGACAGTTTCCAACCTCAGAGCTAGATCCCAGGTCAGGGACACATCAGAATCTCAAATACAGAGAGAAATTCAGTACCTTGCAAGTAGGAGCTGCTCATTAAATATTTCTCAATTTGACTTGACTTGATTAGGTACTAAGTAACCACTAATAACAAGGACAAATAGCATCAGGGGAGAAAGACGGCGCCAGCATCAGAAAGAGGGAAACAGTCTTACTGCATTTGTAGAAACTAATAACACAGATCATTTATTCTTGTGACCAAGAGTTGGACCAGACACAATCACAGACATGTAGCTGGCTTCCAACTGAGTTTGCATGGAGTTTACTGATGGTAAAGGCCAGCTTCCTCCAGCAATCTGTATGGAAGCACTGAGTGTTTGGAATCTGGAATGTTAGATAGAAAACACGGGCTGGTTGACATCAGGCTTTTCCAGTTTGCAGCTGCTTGCTCACTTACTGTGGCTGCTGCCCTCATCTTGTTTGGGCTGGGCTTGCTGGGCTCAGGGATGCATTCTTCACTCTCAGCCTGGGGTGTGGCCTGGACCCTGGCACTCCCTGCCTGTGGGGCCTCTCTGGGGCACAGCTGCTGTTCTGCTCTCTTTGTCAAGTTCTCTTCATTACTCAGTCTGACCTGGACAGTGGGCCCACACTGAACATCACTGTCTCACCAGGGAGGCACTGGGTACTGGAGTGTTGAGTCCTGGAGGACTCCGTAGTTGGGGACAGCCTTACCCAAGAGGATGGCTGGTTGAGGCAGTGCAGTGTGCCGGAGCTGGAATACAGGATATCATCCTTGACCAGCACGGAGACGGCTCTCAGAATGAAGGAGAGGAACAGGTTCAGGTGGATGTAGTTTCTGGTACAGTGCAGCTTCCTGAGGAGGACAGGGGAAGGGTAGGACAGATGATCAGATACTGAGGTGCAGAGTGGCTTTCTGTTTTCGGTGGAGTTGGTAATGAAATGCTTATTCTAATATTATTCTAATACTGACATCTTAATATTCATCCTTGTGCCTTAATCTTATGGTTTTCATTTATGAAAAGCAAGCACTTACTCATGTATTCTATTATCATTTTATAGTTAGGTGTTTTTCCTGTTGTGCATTGTGATATGTATTTCTGCAATATGTCTTTCTGATCATTGCCTGAGGTTAGATTTCAGGATACAACTATGAAAGAAAGTCCTACACAAGTGGGCTTGGAGAGTGTGGATATGGAACAAGCCTAGCTGGACTGGGGCTGCCTCTTTTCCTCTGGGTTCTCCTGCTGCATTGAAGGATTCAGGCTGATACGACTGGGCATGGGCTGCATCTTCCCTTCTTCTTCTGTCTTTCCAAGCTTTTTTCTAGAGAGGGAGACTCTCAGTTGCATATGAAAAAGTTGGTTTCTGTCCTGATAGACACTGCTGCAGCTAGAGGAGGTCAAAAATCTGAGCTCACTGGTTTCATCTGGAATTCAAAGCAAGGGGCTAGTATTCCCAGTAGTGCCTCATTGCACTGTATGACACACTTGAAAATATTTGCTCAGTTTTCTCAAGCAGATTCTAAAATACTACCACAATGGTGGTTGATAAAACTCTTCAATACATATAAGGTATGATTAAAATCAATGACGAATGTTTAATTTTTAAAAATACAAGTGATACATTGCCACTAATCCCCCTCAGAATATCCAAGATGCTCTCATCCCTTCAAACACACATCCCACCAATGTGTCTTTTACTGTAAAAAGGTTTTTAAAAAATGTAAGCATTGGCTCTTTTGATCATCCCTTGTATGAGCAAAAGCCACCGATGAGAGAGTTCATGGGGCAGTTTGTGGCAGCAGGAGACAGTTTGTGGCCAGATGATCCTGACCTGGCCAGAACCTACTGAGAGTTTGGAGATTTCACAGGATTGCTCCCACTGTCAAACTGGCACACAGGCTCCTGGAAACAGCATGGCTCTCACGGACCCTCAGCGAGCAGTCAGTGACAGTGTCACTCACAGTTCCCCTGGACATTGTGTTGAATTCGATGCCCCAGGAGTCAGGCAGTCTATTTAATGTAGGTGGAAAGATTGTAAATAACATGCTTTTTCTTTAAAATTAAATCGAATCCAAAAAAGAGACCTGGTTTTGACAATGTTTGACAATTGCGAATATTAACGAAAATGATACTGGGTGCCTGGTTCACTTGCTAAAACTTTAAAGTCTGGACAACTGACCTATGCTTGAGCAACTTTTTCAGTTGCAAATTTTAAAGTCTAAATGTAGACAACTATTCCCACTACAAACCTAGTGGCTATGTTCAGTGATGCTGTGCAAACGACGACCTGAAGATTTATTGTAAACATAGGAATGATACAGAGTACCCTAATGTTCTTGACAGTTGATCACAGATTGAACCAACAATTGTCTGGATCTAATGATTTAAATAAAATGCATTATGACATTTAATTTTACTTGTTTCTTTCTAAATTTAAGATGTAAAGCTTAGGACATTTAAATTATCCAAGTAGTTGGTCTCTGCATCTGCATGACCACCACATGGGAAGGTGCTGGCCCAGGCTCCTCTGTCCCAGATGTCTGTCAAAGCCCTTGACAGCCAATGCAATGGCTCCAGTCCTGAGGGTGTCTCACAGGCTCTAGCATATTCTGTATCCGTCTGTAAGCTTTGCAGGGCCCATGTGTCTGGGGCATTGATAATTTGCCTTTTTCACTCAAGAAATTCTCAAATTAGCTTTCCATTAGCTTTCCCATTATTTGGCTTTAGTGTTTTCCTAGCCCCATTTTCTTTTATTTTGGGTTACTGTATTTTATTTTATTTTTAAATATTTATCAGTACACATTTGCACTACAGTGTGTATTCTCATTGTAGGTATATTTCCATGTACATGACATAGTATTCAACTCTTTTGTACCTCCCCTTCCACTCTCCTTTCCTACTCACTCCCTCTCCTCATCCCCCTCCCATTCTGTGGGAAGCCGCCTATGATGGCGCCCATTTCCTGCTTCCGGGTTCTTCCCGGCCTGAACAAGCCCGCCAAATTGTCATATCTGCCCAGTTACCCGTGACGCTAGCCTATCAGCTTGTTAGGCGCGCTTCTCTGTGATTGGATACTGCTTCCCCTTATAAGAGGTTGTTCCTGCCCCCAACGGCGGAAGAGGAACCAACGTTGAGGGTGGCGGACCTTGTTAGGTCCGGTTCGCTGTACGTAATAAAGTTTGAGAGCTGATCCTGCTCGAGTTTGGCCTCCTGTCTTCCGCGGCTCCGGTCATCTGGTGGCCCCCGTACGGGGAATAAAAGACTCAGCAACGTGCCTCTTCGGCCGGGAGGTGCGATTGCTGTCGCCTGCGGTACGACGGAGGACCTGGCCCAATAACAGCGGAAGGCCGCGAGCACCTCTTCTCTTCACCCTGATCAGCTACGTGAGATACAGCGGTTCCCGGGACAGGTGAGTACTGGGTCACCTGGGTTGGGTGGACGCACCTAACAGATTTTGAGCGCCACACGAGTGGACGCCGGTTTTTTTTTTTTTTTCTTTTCTTTTCCCTTTGCATCTGTTTTGCTTTCGCTTCGCTAATACAGCCCGACAGGCTTTTGATAGAGCTCGATCGGAATGCTCAGAGGAGCCCGGAGCCACTGCCGATTGTGGGTCTCCGGAGGACCCTCAGGGCTCTAATTCTGATTCGGATTTGGAAGGCTCAGAAGAGGAGGTCGTCTTTGCTAAGCATGACCCTCCTACACCGTTAAAAGAGGAACTTAGGGCTCGGGAAGATAAAAAGGGGAACCAAACACCACCCTGCCCGAGCTACTCCGCCTTACGGGAAGACCTTAAGCCCTTCCGCCCTTTGGCAAGTTCGCGACCCACGATCACCCCCTTCAGGGCGCCAGGCCCCACTAAGCCCTTCCGCCCTTTGGCAAGTTCGCGAATTCAGGGCTCGGGAAGATAGCACCGCCGTGGCCGGAAGAGGAGTTGCTCCCTGGGCTGCCACCACAACCTATGGCACCGCCCTGGTTAGAGGGAGAGCTACTTCCTGGGTTGCCTTCTGCGCCCCCATCTGGGGAGGGAGGAGGACGTTCCTTCCACCAGAGGGTATGGTTGCGGCTTCCCTTTGAGTGTTCCGGTCTCCATGCATTCCCGGTACAAGTAGGAGGCAGGGGAGGAGGAGGATATTATGAGCCCTTAGAAATTAAACAACTTAAAACTATCAAGGACGCAGTTTCAGCTTACAATATTTAGATTGGAAGTCCTGGAATGAGGAATTCTGTGTAGAGCAGGCGGCAGCCAACAGGGAAAATAACCAGAGAGAGTGGAACAGGGATATGCTATTAGGGCGAGGAGCCTTTGAGGAAGATCAAACTCAATACCCTCGCCAGGTTTATGAACAAATTAGCCGCTGTGGCCTCCAGGCCTGGAGACGGCTGGCTGGAAAGGGAGAACATACGGGTCACCTTACAAAAATTATACAAGGGCAGGGAGAGCCATTTTCAGACTTTGTGGCCCGCATGCTTGAGGCCGCTAACAGGATTTTTCCAGATGCTGAGGCGGCTCACCCTCTCATAAAACAATTGATTTTTGAACAGTGCACTAAGGAGTGCCGTGATGTCCTAAGAACTAACAAAAATAGGTCCTTAAGAGTGGACACGCCTGTGCCGTGAATTGGGTGGCCACGGCCTAACGCCCAAAGGAAGAATATCATTGGCACTCTTTACCATAATCATTCCCCTGCCATGGAACATAGCAATCCGTCCCCAACCGACAAAGGGCTGGTGAGATGGAAAGATGTCCTTACAGGACAATGGATGGGCCCGGATCCAGTGGTTAGCTGGACCCGAGGTGCGGTTTGTGTCTTCCCACAGGAACCAGGCTGCGAACCGCTGTGGGTCCCGGAAAGATTGACGCGAGCAGTAAACTCCCCACCAATTCCTGATAAAGCACAGGAGGATAAGCCCGCGGACACAAGTCAACTCGACCCTTCTGGGACCGACGCTCAGCGCCCGAGACCATCTACAAACTAAAATGTCTGGTTTGGAGCTTTTTCTATTCTGTGGGTTCCTATTAATCACCCCTGTGATATGCTCAGATTCCACAGAACCACCACAATATCTTTGGGGTCCTTGGCACCACCCGCCCACATTGGCACCTTTTTCGGCGGCCTCGCCCGCCTCACCCAGGGTTTACACCATCAATCAAACAGTCCTTGATTATGACCCACCCGCTTAACTCCGGTCGACCCTCCATTTCTCTTCCTTCTGTCCCACGATTACCTCTTTTTGGATCCTAATTGCCATGGCTATCCTAGTAGGGCTTGTGGTTATTAAATGCTTGTTAGATCGCCTCATACAAACTCAGCAGCAGGTTAAGATCACAGCTATGGCAGCCATGCAAATGGCAGCAGGTGGCCCATCAGGCCAGCAGGCCGCCGCATATCTCCTTCACATTGCAGAACATCAGCTATAAGAGCTGAGTGGGCAAGCCAATGACGGGTAAGACGGGAAAAGCCCTCCCGGTCAACCTAAGACAGGCTCCACTCAGATATACATGGCCTATAAGGCCAGGGGTCCCTTCTGGAGTCAAATTATTGGCATTGAGATGCGAGACCAAGGGTACTGCAGTGCCATCCGCCCCAAAGGTTGGGGGGAAGGCAGGAATGAATGTCTATATGCATCCAGGTTCGGTTCACAAAAGCCTGGCCCTGCGAAAAAATGAACCACTCACCTTGAGCATGGTCCTGGCGCAAGGATATGCACAAAACAGGGTGATGCACAGCAGGGTATAGACCTCTACATTCTCTCATGCCTCGGCCTACAAGGTAGGCCCACTCCTAGGTGTCTAACAGCAACAAGGTCATAGACACCTTGGAGGGACCCACAGACCATCCTATTTTAATAAATAAAAAAAGGGGGAGATGTGGGAAGCCGCCTATGATGGCGCCCATTTCCTGCTTCCGGGTTCTTCCCGGCCTGAACAAGCCCGCCAAATTGTCATATCTGCCCAGTTACCCGTGACGCTAGCCTATCAGCTTGTTAGGCACGCTTCTCTGTGATTGGATACTGCTTCCCCTTATAAGAGGTTGTTCCTGCCCCCAATGGCGGAAGAGGAACCAACGTTGCGGGTGGCGGACCTTGTTAGGTCCGGTTCGCTGTACGTAATAAAGTTTGAGAGCTGATCCTGCTCGAGTTTGGCCTCCTGTCTTCCGCGGCTCTGGTCACCATTCATCTACCTGTCTAATTCCTTTTATCTATCTTCATTTTGCACTTTATCTTATTTGTATTTTGGCTTTCTCATATGATAGAAACCATACTGTATTTACATTTGTGTGTCTGATGTATTTCACTTAACAGTTTGGTCTTAAGATGCATCCATTTTCCTATAATGACTCAGATTTGTAGCAGAGGGGCAGTCCACCATGCGTCAATACTGCATTTACTTTTATCCATTTGTAAATGGCCTATTTATCTATACTGTGCTGCTATAAATGTGGGTATACATGACTCATGGTTGTATGATGCCTTTAACTCTTCTGGAAGATACCTAGAAGAGGAATAGCTAGGTAAAATGGAATTTCTAATTTTAGATTTTTTTAAAGGAATCTTCATACTGATTTCTATAGTGCTTGTACTAATTACATTCTCTCCAAAAATGTGGGAGAATTTCTTTTTCTCCCCAGTCTTGCTGGTATTTGTTATCGATATCTTGATAAATCTATTCTTTCTGGAGTAACAAGGAATCTTGGTGTTGTCTTAGTTGCATTTCTTTAATGGCCAGCAATGCTTAATATTTTGATGTGTTTATAGGCCATTTGTCTTTCTTTTTCTGAGAAGTGTCTATGTATTTCAGTTGTCTATTTTTTGACTGGCTCTTTTATTTGGGAGGTTCTAACATTTTTTGAGTTGTTTATATATTCTATATATTAGTCTTCTTTCCAAAGTATAGATAGAAAACTTTTCTTATTCTGTAAGTTGTCTCTTCACGCTGATGGTTGTTTTTTCTTTTGCTGTGCAGAAGCTTTTAAATGTAACATAATTTTGTTTGTTGACTTTTGGTGTTATTCTTTTGTAACTGGGGTTCTGCTCAGAAAGTCCTTGCCTAATGCCCATGACTTCAAGAGTTTTATCTATGTTTCTTTCCAGAGAGTTTAAGTGTTTCTGTTTTCATGTTGGATCCATTTTGTTCCTACATTAGCACATGGTGAGAGATACGTGTCTAGCTTTACTCTTCTGCATGTAGACAGTTAATTTTCCAGCACCATTTGCCAAAGAGCTATCTTTCCTCCATTGCATGCTTTTGGCTCTTTGTCAAAGGTCAGGTGGCTGAATGTGTTTGGGTTGTCCTCTGTTCTGCTCACAGATGCACATGTCTACACCATGCCAATATCATGCTGTTGTTATCAGGGTAGCTTTGTAACATAACTGTAAACCTGGGATGGCAATTCTTCTGCTTTGCTCTTGTTACCCAGGATTGCTTTTGCTATCCTGGATCTCTTCTGGTTTCATATGAATTTTAGGATTGTTTTTTCTAGTTCTGTGAAGAATTCTGTCAGTATTTTGGCTGAGATTACGTTAAATCTGTATATAAGAATTAGAAACATGTCTGTTTTGACAATGGTTGCCTATCCAGAAACAGCTTTAAATTTTTCTGATGTCCCTTAATCTCCTTTTTTAGAGCTCTATAGTTTTCACTGTAGTGCCCTTTTACTTCCTTGGTTAGGCTAGGTCATAATTATTTAGTTTTTCTTGATGCTAATGCTTGTCTACACTTCTCACCATGTAGGGGAGTTAATTTATTTGGTTCTCTGCCTGCCTGCACTCCCAGTAAAACTTCTCGTGTGATTCTAGTTCTTTAAAAACCACCAAATGTCAGTGTCAAGTTTTGAGTTTAACTTTATGTGCATATTCAAAAAATGCTCAGGAGTTTTACTTTATAACTCTTGTGTTGCACAAATTCTGCCTTGAGGAAGGCTTAATCTCAATTTACTCTGACTTTGAGGGCACAGGCTGCATCTGACACTGTTCATATCCTTTTTATCTCCACCTGACTGCTCCTTTCTGTGACCCAAAAGAGTAGATACTCATTAAATGCTTGTTGAGCTTTTCTTTCCATGTATGAAGAAGGTTTTGGTGGTTATCCTATACCTTTTACACTTTGGTGTCTAGAATGGAATTGGTTTAGAAAATCAAATAGAAAATTTGAAAATTAAATTGCTAAGTTTTTGAAACTGACAAAAACAATAACAAATCAAAAAACTCCATAAACACTATAAAAAATAAATGTATAGAAAACCACATTAAGTCTCCTGAGCATTTAGCTGCTGAAAAGCAAAGACAGAGAAAAAAATTTTCTGAACATCAAGAGAGAAAAGACTAACCACAAGGAACAATGGTGAGACTGGCAGCTGACTTTACAAAAAAAACAATGACATACATTCTCAGTATGATAAGAAAAAATAAATCTAACTAAAGATTTGGTATTCTCAAAAATAACTTCAAAGATGAGGGCAAAATTATGACAATTCTAGGCAAGCAAAACTCATGCCTGTGTCTTGCACAACAACTTTGAAGATAACTATGCAATATTTTAACTAGTGTTAATTGTCTATGGTTTTGTTTTGAAATTCTGTCACTGTTTTTATTCTTTTTTTGTTTAAAACAACTCATAAGTCTTCATGCAGCAGGATGAAGATTCTGGGTGGAAACAGGGACCAGGAAGAAGGGAGCTCCAGCAGTAAACCTGTAGACACCCTAATGAGCAGCAACTTAAACAACCACAGTACAGTAGCTGTCAGACCTGATGTACACACAGAGTCAAAATACGTGAAAAAACACAAAAGACCTAAGAGGGTAAATGGAATTAAAATGTTGCAATGTTCTTGAAATCAGGGAAAGTGGTCTGGGAGCTGCTATGTGTGTTGTGAATGAAAGTGCTAACTAGAGGAATAAAACCAGGATTACATAGTTAACAGTGCAATGGATAAACCAAAGCAAAGAAAATACTTGACCAACTCAAAGGGAACAAGAAGAGAGTGCAAAAGCAACAAAGCACAGCTGAGACAACTAGAAAGCAAGGACACAAAAGCTAGGTTAAAACTCAGCATTGCCAAAAAGTAGATTATGTGGTTGTAAAAATACTGCATTTTAAAGTAAAGATTGCTAGGGTGGAGATAAACAGTAAATTTCAATTAATGAAGCTTATAAGATATCCAAATTAATAAAATATAAAATTGAAAATAAAAGCATAGAACACAATATACTTTGCAAACACGAAATAAGACGATGAATACAACTATGTAGCAGAGAAAGTAAACTTTTAAGGCAAGGGGCATTATTAAACTTGGTCAGTTTATGCTGGTATATTCCTAAAAACACAACCTCAAAACACATAGAGCAAATAGTGAAAGAAATAAAAAGTGGAATGGATAATCCCACAATCGTAGTTGGCAATGTGATACATTTACTTTTAGAATAAGCAGTTAAAACAGTGATGTAAGTCAACAGCTGTAGAATTAACACTGTTGTCACATGAAAGTGAAACAGCACAGTTGGACCACAAGGCAAGTCCCAAGATGATTGACAGTGCATCCTTAGAAAGAACTGCGCAGACTACAAGGCCTTGCTCACAGTCACGCAGTCTTCTCTACCAGCACTATCCAACAGCAGCCTCTGATGTGGCTGCATTGGCCTCTGCACTCTACAGCTGCATGAGGGGTTGGGTCAGTTGTCCAACGGCAACTGAGAGAGCTCAGCATTTTCTCTCAGGAGGGTACTCAAGACCTAAGTGGTGAGGGAAGGCCACATTGCTCTTGTATTTTCACACATTTGTGTGATGCCTAAGAATTTAATAACTGATAGCTTGAGTGGATTTTACTCAAAGTCAGCACCATATCATTTGTTCACATGGGAAATGCAGACTCCATGCTCACACGCTCCAAGAGCTTGGCACACAGTGGCTCCAGACTGGGGGTCCCCATCTTCTTCCCCTCACTGGTGCCAAAAACTATATAGAAACCTTGCTTGGTTCATACTTTCTGCAGAATTGCTTATTTCTGCTCCTTACCTGAAGAGGCAAAGAATTATGCTTCCGGTTGCAAGTGACATCAGAGAGACACTGTAGCCCAGAGTGTAAATGGCCTTCACCAGAATATAAAACGTGACCTACAAAGAAAGAATATGGATCTGTAAGCCACTGGTGATCTGCATAAAACAGCAGGATGTTCTGAGGTCTGGCCATGTGGTGCTGATTTTCAGAGGGCAGGAAATAGGGTCATTTTGTACCTGTACCTCTCCATCTTGATCCCAAAGGATCCCTTTGAATATATACCCTGTCATACAACCTACTAGGAATGATTTGGGGGTGGCTTCTATAAAGAGATCTGTCTGAGGGAACTAGGAACTAACAGGGCCCACAAAAACACAAAGCTGAGCTGTACCCAGCAGGATGAGAGTCCTTGTGCCATGCAATGTGAATATGTCACTTCCAAGTGACACTTTCCTGACCACATATCAAAGCACCCTGACCACATATCAAAGCACCCTATGAACCATGTGGCTTTGCAGGTCTCAGCAAGGCACTTGGAGTGGCCTTGGGGATTTTATCATCTAGTATTTCTTCAGTTAGCAGCTTCATGGCTCAATATTTTTAACCTTCACAAAGTCAGCAGGCACAGGAAAGATAGTGATAATCACAGTCACAGAAGCCAATCACTTTCTTGCACATGTTCTGCCTGCTGACAGCCTGAGGGTGGGCCAGGAAGGACCTCTGCTGCAGCCTCCCTGGATGCGGTTAGAGATCTACCGTATGTGAGAGCGCAGAGAAATCATCTCAACAACAGCGGTTTCTTTTATGAATTTAACAAAAGCTTAAACACTGGTTATCAGTGTGGGTAACAGGAGGTGAGCTCAGTGCACTGCCCCCAAGTTCAAGAAGTCACCAACTCCCAGAAATGTTCCAGAAGGCCAGAATGTCACTGTCACTAAGTCAACAACTGCTTCCTGGACTCCACCAGGGTTCCAGGGAGGAGTGTGAAGTCTGGACAAATACACCTGCAAAAAGACAAACCCTTCATTATGTAGAAACAGGAGCAGCCTAAAACCTGTACAGGGAGAGGTGGTTAGCTGCAGTGCCAGCACACAGCTATATCCACTGTTTTCCTCATGTATTTACCAGGTGCTTCCTGGGAAGCAAACAGACCAGATCAGCTGCCTCAGGGATCTTATGCTTTAGGAGGAGGAGAACAAACACTACCCCCAGAACTGACAGATGAACCACAGGTTGAGTATGAGGTGGTTTTGGGAGAAATGCACATGGCACAAGGTCCAGGCTGGCTGTGTGCGCAGAGATGAGGTACACTCATGAGAAGTGTGGTTGGAATCTGTCTCGGGGTGAAGAGGAACAGTCAAAAGATGGAATGGCCAATGCAAATGCCTATGGTGATGAGGCCTATGAAGACTGTCAGGGAGGGGGCAGGTCGTAACATTCTGTAGCTATGAGAATGGGACTTGCAAAAGCAGGGTCCATGGGGCAACATGACCTACCAGTGCCTTGGGCTGCTGGGTTGGATGGACGCACAAGGGCCAGCAATGAGTGTGGATCTTCCTGGTGCTGGGTGCATGTTCCAGCTAGGTACCATGGGAACAGAGTGAAAAGAAGTGGACTCCTAACAGCAGTGGCTTGAAGTAGGGCCAAAAGGGCTTCCCAGTAGAAAACTAGAGGGTCAGAGAGAAAATGGAGGCACAGTGGATCTAGTGAGGAACTGGTGAGAAGCTGTGTGCTCCGAGACAGGAAAGGGCAGGAAGGGCATTTTTGATGAACTCCAATCCACATAGCAAAGAGCATCAGATTGATCAAGAAGGATTTCATCAGAAATCAGAGGAAAGAGAGGTAGCTAAAAATGAGAAGGAAAACTTAAGTAGTTCTGCTCTTGCACTTGGAAGCCATTACTCCTGTTCAAGTCCTCCACCCTCAGTTCTTCCCTGATGTCCATCTCACCCTGCATATCTCTCCCTGTGGACTCACTCAGGGCCTCTGACTATGGCATACCTGCTTCCTCTTGGTGTTTCCAGGACACCTGTCACTATTGTGACCACAGTGTCCACTACATAGCATTGGGCCCAGCACGGTGCCCAGCCAGCACTGTACACTATTTAACAACAAAGGAAGACAGAATGAGTACGTATGTGTGCAGTGTGGGCTCTTCTGGAACAGCAGGAACCTGTTTTGAAGCAGTCATCTAGCCTGATATGTCATTTACCCTGTCTCTACAGGTACAGGTACAGGAAATAGCCTTTCCTTCAAGGCCTCTGCTCTCCATCTAGCCTAGAGGGCTTGATGCCAACCAGCACAGGCAGGTGGCTGGTGTCTAAGGCCAGCAAGCCTCACTTTCCTGCTCTACTCTCCACATCCTGCTGTGATAGGGTCATAGCACCAAGGGACATTCCTGGGCAGTCCTCTTGCACCTGTCCAGCCTGGGACTGGGCCTCAGGCTGATCGAACTGACCAGTGCAGCCCTTCACTTAGTGCAGGGAGAACACGTGTTTGATCTAGCAAATGAATGTATTAATAAAACATTAGAAGGAATTTTTTCCTGCCTTTTGAAACCTTAATGGTCAACCACAATCCCATTATATGGAACTCTGGTACTTTCCAAAATGCCTCTTGCCATCTATTACTCTTCAAAGTAATCAAAATTAATGCAATTTTAAACCCCAGTTATTTGGTTGTACTGACCATGTTTCCATGGTCCATGTCCCATGTGGCTAGCAGCCTCACCCCAACAAGGCAGATGGAAAGGATTTCCATTCCAGGAAGAGGCCCTATGGGATCAGCACTCAGCAACACCTATCTGCATTTATCTGCCCTTGGGCTGTTAATTCCCAGTCACTTTTAACTTCCATCCTACTTGCAGGAGGAGCCAGCAGATACTTTGAAGACTCTTGGAGGTCACCACCTCCACTCTGTTGTAAGAGGTAAGGTTTATTCCCAGTGCAGAGCCCGTGCAGAGTAGAGTGTGGGAATCACACATAGATACAACCACAGTCACACCAGGCTCTTCCCATTGCACAAAATGAGCCCTGCTCACACTCAGTTTTTCTGTAGAAAGGACTCAGTGTAGGGGAAGGGCCACACCATCTTGGTACCACAGTGATGCTCATCTTCCCATCTCAACCCTTTTGCTGTCCTCTCAACAAAGAAGTTTATACACAACTCAGTGTATAAATCTGGAGAAAGAATATGGGCCCCAAACACCACAGGGTTCTAAAAATGTATGATTTCAGACTAAAAAGAAAGCAGCCCAGGAGGAAATGTGCATTCTTGGTAAGAAAGGGCACAGTCCCATAGCTGTGAATTCAGTAGTTAATTCTAGTACTGATTTTGATGGAAACACCTGTAGGCCTTGCAGTTCTTTCTGTAAATTTAAGGTCCCTCTGGAGCCAAGGAGAAGACAAAAGACAGTTTCTACAGAGCAGGTCCCCAGCTGCAGCCAGCTCACCACAGTTGTCCACTAGGCAGGTCCAGGCTACCTCTCTGTGCCTACCATGGGGGGTTAGACAACAGTGCACATCCACAGAACATAACACCGAAATCAGTGGTGTACCCTGAAAACAAGGAACGTCTATCTGAGTGTCTGCTTTGGGTGTGCAGCTGTCCTGCTCACAATCCTGTAAAAGACTCACATGTAAACCTGAGGAGAGGAAGGAAACAACCTAAGTGTCGATCAACTGAGGAATGGATAAAAAAGCTGTGGTATTTTTATACAGTGGAGTACTACTCAGCTGGAAAGAATGATCACATTGAGATATTTATAAATAAATGGATGCAGCTTAGACCATACTCATAAGCAAAATAAATCAAACTCACACATATAAATACTGAATAGTCTCCCTAGTGTAAGAAATGGTAAGAGTACATAAGAATTTATAGTAATCATGATTCCCATTACATTGCTCTGAAGCCTTATAATGTCTACACTCATTAGTTGGAATGGTTTTATCCTGGTTTGTTTGATTTTATTATCTGTGATAGTATAAACAGCTATTTTAAAGAAAACAAGACATTAGACTAGCCAGTGCTGATTTAGTATCATCTTACTCTGAAGTCCTACTATGCTTTTGTTTTTCTGCTGCCTTTGGTTCTGTTCTGTTATGTCTTATTGGATATTATTATGTGTGCTAGTATAAACAAATTTTCTATGGAAAATGAGATAATATAGTAGCCATTGTTCATTCTCTGCTATTTGGTTCTGAAAGCCCTGTAATGCTTTCATTCTCTTGAATGGTTTTATACTGTTTTGTTCTGCTTGATACTATCCTATATGAAGCTATGCTCGACTATTTCAAAGAAAGAGACACTATGGTAGTTACTGTTAATTATGGGTTGTCTTGTGGTAAAATGCTATTACTTGCATTGTTCTGATCTGATCTGCTTTGTTACATCCTCTTTTGTCTTAATCTCTTTAAAATTAAAAAAAAACTGGCCTTTTAAAATTCAGGCTCAGTCTTTCCCCTGCCCTCTCTTTTTTTTTCCTTTAAAGTACTAGGCCTGATAAATGTGTCAGGGAAATGCTACATGTTTAGTGTGACAGCAAAGCCATCCACTCCAAGCCTAAGGTTCTCTTTCCCTAACTGTCAGCTTCTGAAACAATGCATTTCTCTGCTTCTGCAGGAAGAGAGACCTCCTCCTCGGTGTGGCGTCTGTGTCCCAGGGCAACCCTGGCTGGGCCACAGTGGGCTGAGGAGCAGTGTCCTGCCCTGGAAGGAAAACCTCTGGCTCTTTGGAGGGAGAGTATTTTTCACTCCCAATTTTGTGTGTGAAATTTGTATTCTTTGCTGAACATGTTTGGTATCACTGGTTAATTTGATTTATACAATACATTACAGGAAGCTTAACTTAATCCAGACACTGCAAAGTGTTCTGGGAAGTACAGCAACTGATAAGCCAAACTACAGGCTTTTCTTCACCATAAGAACTTTATTCTGAGGATTATCCCAGGACACATGAGCTAGAAATTGATGTAGGTATGAGTTAAAATTTGCAAAACTCAAATTTTTGCATCCACTAAAAAAATAGGAACATCCACATTTCAAATATTAGTTCCTCAAGGCTGGCTTAGAGTGTATACATTGTTATGGTTTGGAACAAAAATGTGCCTCAGAAG